CGCCTTCAACAATCTCATCGCCCCTTGGAAACTCCACACTTGCAAACGTACCCGATGCAACGCGCCTCTGACCATGGCGTCTGGGCTGCCTCAACGGCTGGGAAGTATCTTCTGCGGGTGGTAGGAGTGGCGAGGATTCAAAGGGCACCGCAGGTTGCGAAGGCACAATCCAGGAATTTCGCTGCAACACATTCTGCTGCTCACGGGGAGAAAACGCGGAAACAACGGGGTCCTCGGACACACCCGGGCCTCCTCGCCGCCCCTTTTGGGCTTCATACAAGGTTTTGTCGTTCACCTCCTGCAATTCCATGGGCACCGCCCCCGTGGATTGATCATCGCTGAGACGGCGACAACAACAGCACATGATGATAATAATTAGTGCAAGCAGAGCGACAAGCGGCAGCAACACGGCAAGAATGGCGTAACAGTGCTTCTGTGCCCACGACACCACCACCTCCGGCGGCAACGTCGTCGTGGTCGTCGTCGCGTTCGGAGCCTCCGTCGTCGTCGTCGTTGTCGTTGTCGGGGCCTCCGTCGTCGTTGTCGTTGTCGGAGCCTCCGTCGTCGTTGTCGTTGTCGGGGCCTCCGTCGTCGTCGTTGTCGTTGTCGTCGTTATGAGTTCGTCTTGCGCCTCACAGACAATGCTGAATGCCGCAAAAGGCATATCAGGGTCCATGTAAGCATGGTCTGTCCCGTCGTACCACGTTGCGTTCACATCTTCCTTCGTCATATCCAGGCGAGATATTAAATACAATTGGCCGTGCGCAGGGTAACCATCGTGCCAGTAGGACTCGTACCCGTTCATTGGGCCTGCGCCAGCGAGGGAGTGCAGTGAACCTCTGAAAAACGGAGCACCATAATATCCCATCACCGTGCCCACAAACTCGCCCTGATTCCACTCAAAAATGCAGTTCAACGATGCCTTGGCAACTTCTCGACCACACTTCTTGTCGGGGTTTTCCGGCCACCTGGCGCTGTACACGGCGTCACCGCCCATGTACGTGAATACCTCCTTATTGGCAACGTCTCCCATCTGTCTCAAGTAATCTGTGATGGACTCATGCGCAGCAAGTGTTTGATCCGCAGTAAGGAGGCCTCCTTCAGATTTACAGCTTGCTGACGACGAGCCCCAATACACCAAACGTCCATAATTTTCAAACGCTGAATAGGGCAAGCTGAAATATTTCTTGATTTTAACCCTCACGTATTTGTCTTCTTCGGCCGCGGCGAAGGAGGGGTGGCTGCCCAGGCACTGCAGCAGCAGCAGCAGCGCCACCCACCGGACGACGGTCCTCGTCGCGGAGAGCGCCCGCATGACAACTTCGGCCGCCATCATATACCCGCTGCGTGGAACGATGTGTGCGTGTGTGTGTGTGTGTCTACCGTCTGTGTTCGCGGGGTGGAGACAAAGTGAGGGAAAGACAGGTGCAACGCCTAGACGGCCCCACCCCACACAGGCACCAAACAAAACAAAAAAAAAAACTGCGTGGTCCGCGTTGCTCGCTGCGGCTGCATGGGCAAACCAGCGCCCCAAAAAGTGAGCAGCGCAGGCACGGCTGCCCTCCCCGCGCTGACGCACACCTACCGCTGCGTGGGGGGCGCAGGCCCCAAAGGAAGTCTCGCGGAGCACCGCCGGAGCGTCCAGCGTCGTTTCGCACCTCCGGTGCACCCTCCTGCTCTTGCCCCTTCTTCAGCTCCTGAGACGCCCAACGCAGAGAACCACCAGACTCCCACACACGTGCATCACAGCTCCCTCCCCGCAGCAGCAGTGCAACGTACTTCGCACCTCCCTCCTCTTCTCCCAGCAGCCGAATTACTCTCAGGAAAACGTTGAAAAGAACGCAGCAGGGAACAACAAAAACAAAACAAACAAAAGCCCGCCACATCCACGCACGCCGCAAAGGCAAAAAACACAACAAATCAAAACTAAATCCCAAGCCACAACGACGGCAGCGGTGCGGGGAGAGGGACCCAAACGAGACCCTCCTGCGCTCCCTCCCCGCTTCCGCCCCGCCGCCCACACGGCCCCTGTGCCGCCGCCACGCCATTTCCCGCTCGCCCACATTTGCCACACACGCAGAGAGAGAACAACGTTTGCGCAAACACCGGAGGCAAAACATGGAAAAAATATGCGCCACCAGCAAACTACACCAACAGTGCACAACGACGAGGAACACCCCCGATTCCTTCAACTGCTGCCACCCATCCTCGGCACCCACGGCGTTAAAACCACACAACTCAGCACCGGCTGAGTGCCATCGCCACACGTCGCTGGCAGACGGTATCGCAACGCCGCACACCGTCGGCATCTGCAGCTGTTGAGTGGCAAATCAACCACACTTCTTCCGGGCCTCCTCAGCACGGCGCCACGCAAAGCACGGCCGCCACCCTCATCCAGAAAGATCCGCTTCTCCTGCTTGAAGCCAACAGCGTTACACTGGAGGACCCGCAAGACAGGACTCAGGTTGAGCCCCACACTCCGCATAGCTGCAGAAGCCACCACTGATGAATCTGCAGTGCGAGCGACGTCACTACATGGCAGTAGACGCAGCCGTTGAAAACAAACTTCACGCCTTTTGTCCCACGCCTCATAAGCACGGCATCAAGCAGAGCTTGCAACCACCACCTCAACCAAACAAGAAGATAAATTTAAACACAACTACGCTATTTAATTATTTCGATTCCACGCACAGAGCGATGATAGCCTCCAAAAACACTTCATGTCGCTATCCATTCAACTAAAATGTAACGTACGCGGAGAAGGCAACTTATACAATACCTCGGCAACCATACAAACTTGACGAGGCCAACATCTTAACAACAACACACTGCACAAAAAAAAAAATATCTAATGAAATCAATTAAAAAACACGAACACTTGTTTTGCAGTCGCACTCAAACTAAATAAAGACACAATGACCCGTTTGCGGTCGCACTCAAACTAAATAAAGACACAATGACCCGTTTGC